CTTTTAAAACCAGGCATCACATTTCTCTGTAATGGTGGATAACCTCAATCATTTTCTGTTCCTTCTCAGAGCACAAAGGGTATCATACTCCTGAGAATTACACCTCAGCCCTCCAAATGCTGCTGACCCTGTTATACACCTTAATCAAAGATGAGATTCGTTTGAATGAACTTGCTGCAGGCAGCCACTGGGCATTATTCTGGAAACAGTTTTCCTAAGCCTATCCCATGCTTCCCAGCAATGTTACTAACATTTTAATGTGTTTTCCCTATGGACTTGAGTGGCTGCAGGTGCTTGTGGGATACTGTGACCTAGCAATAATTGCAATTTCTTTTTGAGACCACAAGGAAGTGTTCTTCAGGTTGTGCTGCTTTCAGAAGGAACCTTTTGCTGGTGAGAAAAAATTGGTTGGTACTTGTAATACATGAGTTTTGCAGTTTTCTCTGTGACACCTTTTCCAAGTTACTGTGGCAACTGTGGCCTGAGAGTTGTCTGCCTTATGGATGGGCAAATAATGTGAGCATTAAAGAGGCGTGCTGGGGTCAGAGGTTGGCTGATGTTTGTTTAATTGAGTCCTGTGGCACAAGCTGGAAAACCCTCAGCAGGGAGCATTGTCATTCAGGGCACATAAGAATCCTGGAATAGGTCAAATAATTTGAGCCTGACCTTCCTTCATTTGGTGGAGCTTTAGGGTTTGGTGCACAGTGATTTTAAGCTGCTTTTTCAATTTCCTGATCCTAAACATGCTAAATATATTCTTGTGCAATAGTGAAACACAATGTCCAGATCCTATCATGAATGACAGCTACTACTGTCTTTCTATTTTTGAATTATGATAAGATAGATTCTGCAGTGCTTTAGCATTTCCCTTCACATCCAGTTTATGGAGAAAAAAAGAAAAAAGGTAAAATATGATCAAGTAGTTTTCTCTGGTTTAAAACAATTCTGTTCCTGAATGAGATGGCTGGCACAAATCACTGATGGACATGAATGCAGAACGATGTGCTGAGTTTGCAGTGCAAGCTGAAAAGGAAACAGATATTCCTGTGGGAATGGGAATTTTCCAGTGTGCACACAGTGCCAGTGTGTGCCAGGAACAGCAGAAGATCTTTAATGCACAGAAGGGATTTAATGACTTAATGAACCTGCTGTACTGAATCAGTCAAAACCCAGCAAGGAAAGGATTTAGAAAAACATGCTGACTTCTGGCAAGAACTGCTTATTTACTGGACTTCACTTATTTTATGGGCCATGATAGAGCATTACTTTCACATTATATATGAGGATAATTACCAGAATTTCAGTAAAGTAGCTGCCTCTTTATTTTCTGGGAAAAGTTCATGCATATGCAGAAAAAAAGCACTCATTTATACACATGATTCCCCTCAGAATAACTCAAAAGCCTGAGGATGTTATACCCAAGTGCTCTCCCTGTTGAAATGTAATTTCACTAATAAATGAATATACTGTAGGCTATACCATCTAGAAGAAGATTAATAATGATAATTGTGAGAAAAAAAACAGAAGTATTTTAATATATCATAAAGGTCAGACCTAAGTAATCTCCAACAACATCTTAGCATAACTAAGGCTGCATATAAAAATGGGTTTGAAATTCTGCACATCCTCCCCCTGCATAAGGCAGAATAGATTCCTCATTTCCAGTTGAGCTGGGACAATTGATAGCATCCGGAAGCTCAGCTATGCACATTTTAAATGTATAGATTCAGAAGGGAATATTATTTTAAAAGCATGCAAAGCATTGTTTTCAGAGAAAAGGAAGCAAAAATTATGTATTGCAAAAAAAGTCGGACGTGCCTCTGTTTCAGTTTTAGAAACCTGGCCTATGTTCCTGAAGTGGTTTGGAACCACAGGCCAAGTTCCAAGGGGAACACCCTGCTCCCCATGGGGAAGGATTTATGATTTTATTCAGGATGTATGAAATGCGATGATTTTGGCTGGAGTTCAGGAAATAAGAGGGGAGCAGAGTCTCCATTCATTTACACCCCTGCCTGTTGTTAGTGAAGTTTTAATGACAACTAACAAAGGCAGACGTGGGCTGCAGAATGGGAACTGTGTGCTTTGTAAAAATGGCCAAAAATGAAATTACTTCTGTGAGCAGGAGCTGCTGGTGCTGGCAGAGCTCTGAAAAACAAGGCTGCAGCTGAAAACAACAGCAGGTCCTGAGAGCCCACATTAGGGACCTTCCTTCCAGACCCTGAGTTCGTGTTCTCTCTGACCTACTGCAATGATCTGTTACAATACAGTGGGAACTCAGCCTTTGGAAATAGAAGCAGCCAGTAGTGTTTTCAAAATCTGTGGATGTGCAGACATGTAGCTCTATTCCCGGAATTTGCAGGAACTTTTCACCCCATGAGCTGCACAAATGGACATCTGTGCATTTTGGGGGAAGATTCTTAACATGGAATTTTTAAAACCTAACTGAAGTTCACAGTATCCAGTCATTTGAAGGAAATGCTTCCCACTGTTCCTTCTCGCTGATAGTTCAGGGTTATCTAACACATGGCAACTTTCCTTTAATGAGAGCAGTGTGTGTGTGTAGGAAGAATCTCTATCTGAAAGAAGCAGTGCTGAGCCAGATCCCTGGCTTGCATCCATTGCCTTGCATGAGGGAGTTCCTCGGTATCCCAAGCTTCAGGAGCCTGGGCCCTGCAGCACCCTCTTGCTGTGCCTTCCTTAGGGGAACACCCTTGGGATGTAGCTGAGGCTGGCCAGGAAGGAGCCTTAAACAGTCTGTGAACTCTGGCAAGCCCCAGCTGCTGCAGCAGCCCTTGGGAGGATGTTGAAGACAATTTGGAACAATCTGGAGCAGCTCTGAGCTGCTGAGTGGGGTCCCTGCAGGCCAATGCCTGGGATGGAAAGTCAGGAGATTGTTGTGGATCCTTGTCTGGCTGTGGGAGGTGGTGACCAAATACCTGCACTGTCTGTACCATCAAAAGAGAGACAGGGGCCTTGCTGGGTGGGAACGAGGCCCCTGCCTCTCATCTAAACATATGTGCATTTTGTAAGCAAGGCAATAACCTAATGAAACCCTGGAAGCAGCAGATACTGCCTGGGAGGCTGAAAGTGAGAAGGGAACTCATGAGCTGGGTTCCACCTGGGATCTGTGAGAGCCTTGAGGTCATCAACAAAGATGTCTTGACTTGAAACCCTAAACTTTCTTTGGGATGTGCTGTGCACTGGAATAGTCAAGAAGGGAGTGATTTATTGGCATTTTATGCAGATAGAAGGGCCTCTCTAAAGGGAGACAAGTTTGCTGTTGAAATGGGTTTCTTTGTGATGGAAATAAAAATAAAATGTTAGGCCTGTTTCATGCCATGATGTAGATTGAAATCTTTCCCATGGCCTTGGAGAGAGAGAGAGAGAGTTCATACCCACCACAGATATATAATGTCAGCTACCATTACATTTTCCACATAGTACCCAACACATGCCCATTATGGATCTGTAATCAAGGCAAAGCTTCCACAGCCTCAAACTGATCAAAAAGCAGCAGCAATGCAGCAGTATGCCCCTGGGAAACCAGAACATCATCACTACAAGTGTTAGCTGCTGCAAATTAAAAATCTGAGACTCTTACCATGCTAAGCTCTCATGTCTTTCTGCCTTCTCATGTACTAATACTCCTAAATAAATAAAATATCAAAATGTAATTACAGGGGAGATTCTTGACTTTCCCTCGGCTGGAATATACATCCAGCTGCTTTGTTAATATTGCCATTCAGGTACAATTTAAAATCAGCAGAGAAAGTAATTCCAGAACCTGTACCAGAAGGTCACAAACTCCCCTTGAAAGCACTGATACTTCCTTTTGTTCACTCTTATGTATCTGATTACAAATTACTAAATCCTACTGCTATTTGAGAACTTTTAGATTCTAATCAGTACTTTGATGAATGTACAGCACAATAATGCAGATGAGTGATGTCACTCCTTAAGCACACAGCAGCGTGCACGGACAAAAAAGTGGAGAAACCATTCAAAAGCTCTGGGACCTTTGTGATCTGGGAGCTTCCTTTGTAACCCATCCCGACTGTAAATTGTTGCCTAACAACTTGACATTGTTAAAGTGTCTAATTAAACCTTAGAAAAACCACCCCATGCAAATACAAAATGTTCATCTTGGACTGTGAAGGGTTGCCTTTATGTTGGTAAAATAGAATGAAAATCCGGGATAAGGAAATGTAACAGAAGTTGACTTCAATAAATAAGAAGGAAACATGAGTAAGTTCAACAATGTCACCATTAAAGAGCTTTTCTTTATGAACTAGATAACTTCCTAATGCTTTGTGCTACAGCATAAAAGACTGTTTATTAAATGAAATAGAGGTAAACATCACAGGCTTTTTTCATGTAATAAAAGAAAAACAATGTAGCCAGGTTAAAAGATGAGCAAAAAATTCTTAAAAGGCTCCTTTTTTTTTTTAAAATATAATCAAACCAAGTGGTTGAAATGAAAATCATAAAAATAAACATAATCTGTGTAATTTTTCTGCTGCCGGTGGCATGGTCCTGATCTGTTCTTTTAGTCTGTTTAAAACACTTATATTCAGTATTTTTAATGGGTATGAAAATTCCATAGGACTGTTCTTGGTTAAACCAGTGCTGAAGGATGTGAGGACAGTGCTATGAATTTAGGAAAGGCAATAAATGCAGAAATCTGCTTCTGTTACCTCTTCAACACCATCTGGCAAGGGATGATGCCTGTCCTTTCTGATAGTGTTTATAATTTTTTTGCCTGTGTAGTTATGCTTTATGATGTTAATATTCTTTTAATGTAGATTATAAAGGAGGGACCTTGCCTTAGTTTAAAGCATGCACCATTAAACTAGAATAACTGGGGAATTTGCTGTAAAAAGAGCTTTCCTGCCACCTCACACTGTGTCTGGGTGGTAGTTTGTTATGTGGTGCACTTCTTCAGAGGTGCTGCTACCTGAAAGCATCCTGCTTTTAATAACCTTCTTCCTTTTCTTTGCCAGGGACTTCTGACACTCCCAGCTGAAGTACAAGAAAAGGACTTCACACAACTGAAGTACAAGAAAAGACTTTCTGCTACATTTTAGGTAATCAGTGGCTCTTGGTTGTAAATGGGATTAAGTGATCTGGTGATTGAAATAGTGTAAAAATACCAAACCACTTGGAAGTCTGCCACCAGAAGTGAACACATACTTGATGGTACAGGGTCTAATGAGAGTTATTCATTCAGTGCTTATTTTCAGCTCAAGAATTATAAACCAGCTTTTCTGCTCCACTCTTGGAAATTAAGCCTATATTTCTTTATTTTCCTGTCTTTTTCTTTATGAGTGTATATATCCATTTGCACAACTGCAGTTGCCTATGCTGTTTTGTCTGGGAAGCCCATTGTACAAACCTAAAGCTTTTCCCTGCTCAAAGGAGGTTTTGCTTGCAGTGTCACTTTGATTATGGCAGGGTCCTGTCTTTTCAACACTTAAGCATGTTGTGTCGCCACATGATTAACATTTAAAGCTGCTTTAGCAGTGCAAGTCAGTCTCACTTACATACTTTTCCCCCTTCTTGATCTTAATATGGGAAGTCACTATCCTCTAACTGGACAAATTTGTTTCAAAATGAGCTTGAAAAGCACATGGGTCATAGCAACTGTATCAGTTCATATCATTCCCCCTTCTTCCTCTTCTTCTATTCTCTAATGCATCTGATGCACTGTAAAAGATCCTGGGAATAAGATAAGCTGGGAGAAGTCTCCAGTTCATTCAAAAGGGATCAGGGATTCTGAAAAATTGGAAGGGGTCACCTTGAATCTGTGTAAGAATGAGAAAGGCAGGCATGCCAGCCCAGATGGTCTTTCTTTATACTTTTTATGCTATAAAAAGGGGCATTACTGTTTCTTGCATGGAAGGGTTTTTATGATCAAGAGCAGAAGAAAAGGACTTAGAATTGTTAATATACTGCTTGAGTGCTTAGCCATTTATATTTACAGTAATTGCTTCTGGAAAAAAAAAAAAAAGTCCTTCTCCTGCCAAGTGTAGGAAAAATAAAGGCTGATTGAATTAAGTCTGGGAACCAGTTTGATTAGAAACTGAAACAAATCTCCTAGGACTCTAGAAAGCCAGTTCATTTGTGGCATTCCTTCTATACTCTAATGGGCTCTGATGCTTGATACTGAATGATAAGAAATGCTTGTTTCTGAAAACAGCTGTTGTGGGTTTGGTAGTTTGGAACTGCTTTTGAGAGCTGAATGTAAACCATAAATATGTGAAAATGCATGCAAGTCAGATTGCTCCTCCAGATAGGACTGGAACCCGTGGTCATTGCTTCAAAAATATTCCCAGAAAAGCAGTAGAATTACACCTTCCTCTTTTGGAAAGAAAAGCAAAACCACCATTATTCCAGTGAGGCTGTGCAGGGTCTGTAATGTGTGCTCTGTGACTTACAGCAGGCACTGGGTGCTACCACAGATCAGCATTTTGGTGTTTTCTGAACTCTACCCTGTGCCATTATGCTGGGATGGTGCTGGCATTCCTTCAGAATCTGATTAAAAGAAAAAACATTTCTGTTCTGCACTCATGTTAACATTACTCAGGCCTCCAAATGCTTGAAAAATTATGTCCCTGCTTTCTAACTTTTCCGTCATTAAAACTTGCAAGGGATGCTTGGCTGTAAGTGCCTTGCAGAGTTTGGAGCCCTTCACCTTTAGCATGGTTTCAAGTGCAAACTTGAAAATTGGTTTCTTACAGCATTTTGTGGGGCATAAGTTGGGAGCTGAGAGCAACAAACTCCTTTGGTCATGAGATGAGCTTCACTTCACTCCTGTTGTTTCCAGTCACCACAGTTAAGGTAGGTGTGAACTCCTTGGGTCATCCCACAGGCCTGACACTTCTGTGTGTCACAATCCCTGAACAAACTCTGTAGTTTTGTACATTTTTAAACAGAAAAGTAGCTTTTTTTCCCTTTATTCCTAATTGTAAAAATGGCATTTAAAAAAGTAAGTTCTGTAGTGACAAATGCATTTCACTGGTAGCTCTGTTTTGCAGATAGCTCTTCAAAAATGATGAAAGTAACAATTATTATCATTTCATGTAATGTATAATTATCTATTATTTACAGAATAAAGAGTGAATAGTGGAAGTAAAGATCATGTCATAACCTGCAGTATGAAGTGCTAGAGAGGAGCACTTTTTAATGTGGCTGCATTTTTCATGATTCAGAAATTGTGGGAAAGTGTTTCTAAAATACAGCATGGGCAGGCACTGAATTTCAAATTGGATTTCATGGAGCAGACAACACAACAATGAATTAACACTGACCTAATTTTAAAAATATTTTAACACCTGTTTTTTGGAATCAAATGATCATAGTAGAGTCTTGTTGAATGAAACTGTTATTAGACTATTTTTATGCCATTTTGGCCTATTTTATACCAGGACTGAACAATGTAAATTTAGTCCACACTTTGGAAAAAGGTTTTCACCCACTTTGATGTGCAGTTGAATAATATTTGATAATTTTGCAACACTTGCAAAATGCAATTTTTTTCAGAGAAGAGTGTAAAGAACTTTGTGCATAAGGCGTGCAGTTGCAGTTTGCATACACAAATTTTATGCAAATAGAAATAAAAAAACCCCATGTGGTGTAAGCTGGAAGTGTAATGCACAGATACTGTACGTGTAGTTGTGAAAAAAAAATCTTTTTCTAACCTGGCTTCCTTAGAACAAATTTATCCTGTTACACCAGGATGACACACTGAAATCTGTTCTATCTTCTGCCTTAGCAACACAAACCTTTTACCAAAAAAAATGAGTAAATTAGAAGCTTTTGGATTATAAACCTTTCCAAGACATTAGACATATGTATATATAATTTATTGACTGTATTCAGGAAGTAGATGGAATGAAAACTTGCTGAATTAACATGTTCAAATGAAGGTTATATGACATTTACCAAAGAGTTTTGTGACACAAATCTGGGGAGCAGATGGGAGGGATGGAGGAGGATATAGCTGATATTTCAATACATTCTTGCACATTTTCTGCGGTTTCTGTTTGGTTTGGTTGTGTGTTAGGTGGGATCTGCTGCATGGCTCCACAGCCACTTGGACTCGATGCCAGATGGAGCATTCTTGGGTGCCTTGATGATTTTATGGCTGTTGGTATCCTGTAGGATACCCCACCTCCTTAAAGGAGCCCAAATAATTATTAGAGGGTTCTGTGGATGTGAGTTCAGTCTCAGGCTTAGAAAAAAGAAAGGATTCATTTCACCCTGGAGGCTGGGAAAAGGAAGGACAAGGGAGCAATGGAAAGATAGAGAAAGCATCAGGTCTAGAAGGGAGTATGAATGGAGGAAAAATGTTGCAGTCAGGCATTGTTTTCCTTTGCTTTAAATGCCCCATAAGCAGAGCAGTCAACAGGCAGACAATTATAGCACCAGGCACTTTGGATTGCATTAGGGTGCAGAACAAGCTTTGCTCTCCATGCTTTATGATATCCTCTGAATCCTCTGGAAGAATAAATGATATAACTTGATGTGACTCATACAGGAAAGCAGATAATCAGTGGTGTGCCATAATGCAAGTGAGAAAAAGACAAAATAGTCAAAGAGTGCTTACACTGTGTTACTTTTATCTTCTGATATTGTTTATCATATTGGTATTATCATGATTATTTGCTAATGTTATCATATCTCCTAATGACAAAAATTCCAGGCTTGGAGCCAGGATCCTAGACAAAACATCCTAATGCTTATGGCAGTTTCTCCCTTCGCTGGTTATTAAATTGTTTCTGTGAATGAAAGTAACGATTACAACGAGGGGAAATGTACACCATGCCAGGGCCAATTTCCTAGCACGCCAGGAGTGATGCACACATCAGCCTCCTGCAGCTGGAATGATGCTCTGGGATGGAGGGAACCTGAGTTAGGACCTGAGGAGTGGCTGGAGTGACCTCTGGAATTGTGCTGCTGGCACTGAGGTCACAGATGCCTCATTTAGTCCTCTGGGCTGCAACGCCTTCCAGCCCACTGAAAAATGAAAATGCAGCAAAATAGTTCTGGCAGGGCAGGGAGGTGTTCAGGCTGAGGTTTCAGTATGGATTTTCTGTAGGGATATCAGCTTCATGGCAAAGTTAAAACCTTCCCATCCATATCTGCATTTTACTGCCTTTTCTCTTCATGTGTTTCTACTTATTAAGTTATGCTAAAGGGTACCGAGCAGACCCTTGATGAAAATGGAGTGCCCTGGTTTTTCCAAAAAGACTAATAATTAAAAACCCCCCTATCATCTGCAGTTTTATGGGCAACCTTGATTTATGTGTCCTATTTTTCTAAACCCCTTTTCTTAATCCTTTTGTAGGCAGACTTGACATTTCCCAGAATTAGCTAATGTTATACCAGTAAAAATGTCCCTTGAAAAAGGGAAATATAAGGAACTTTTCTACTGAGGGTTGCATTCAATCATATTTTTTCCATGAAATCATGCTTCTGTGGAGTTCCTAGGCTCTCATTGGAAGATCCTGCTGGATCTTGAACTGCAGTGAGTGTCCCTTACATTCATTAGTAGCTTATATTGGAAGCAAAGGGCTTCTGAGCTTTTCAGCTGTAATTCAACAACATTATTCTTAGGCAGGAAGGTGAAAATTTATTTACTGAAAGTAAAATATTTGCTCTGGCCAGAATGCCATTTTTGCCACTAGCACTGATGCCTTTTAGATGAAATTTTGGTAGTAGCCTAGTAAGCCTGTGATTACAAACACAGGTGAATTCAATAAAAATTCAGTCTGCTCTCATTCCTTTTGGTGTAAATCCAGAATATTTTACTGAAATCTATTGCCATCTGGCTAAACTTTGTTTCCAGGGGCTGCCAGTATACAGAGCCTGGTGTTATCAGCCCAGGTATATTTAGGTTTTTTCATCACCATAGAAAGCAAGGAAAAGTAACCAATCTACTTTACAAGTAACCAGGTGACATAAACTCAGGTTACTGATGTGGCAATTATCTGGTCTGGTAATTATGACCAATGGCAGCAGCAAAAACAATAATAATAACAATTAAATAATGCAAAACTGACCTCCTGAGGGAAGTATTTCTGTC